ATGTTTTTGGGTTTCCTAATTTTGTGGTTGATCAACTCTCTTGATCTTTAATCTTCTAAATCTCCCATAATTTCAGTCAGTTTAAATTTTGTATAATGCTTTCTTTAACTTTATCTTTTATACCTTATGTGAGCCAACCTGTTTTCTTGCAGTCACCCTTGTCTATAAGGAACATGCCTATAATTATGGTTTAAGAATTTATTTAAAAACTTTTTCCACGTTTGATCAATATCTCCAACTAATTCGGTTGTTCAATCCAAATCTTGTCTTATTTCTTCAAAATTTGGTTTTTTGAAAGCTGGAACCAAAAATCTCATTATTTCTTATCTCTATATACAGCAAAACATAAAATTTAATTGAGAAATTATCACTTGCTCCTAGATGTTCATTGATATCTACCCTATCAATCATTTTTTTTATTAGAAGTTAACAATAAATCTAAAATAGCATTGTTCCTTATGAGTTTACTCTAACATTTACCAATCTATATGCCTAAAATTAAAATCTCCCGTAATTATAACCTCATTAACAGTTTAATTCTTTATGTCACTGTAGAGTTTCTCATTAATTACACCAGTTTTACCTGGTGGTTTGTAACAACTTTCAACTAAATGACTTCTCACATTTTAACTACTAACAGAAACCCAAATAGATTCAATCTCATTGCTCTTAGCTTTGATATCCTCAACTTAAACAGGCTGTAGCTCACATTTTACACATAAAGCCACTCCTCCCCCTCTTTTTATTACTCTACCCCCCCCCCCCCCCATTAAACAACTTAACCATGTATTCCAGAAAAATCCTGTCATCAAAATTGTTTACCTTTAGCCAGGTTTCAGTTATTCCTATTACATCAAAATCCTCTGTTTGAACCAATGCTCTAAAATCATCTGTGTTATTTCTTATACTTCTAGCATTAAAATAATAACAGTTTAGCCTACCATTGAAACTACCTTTGTACCTTGTTACCACACTAAACCTTTCTTTGTATATATTTTTTTTCATTATTCTGGCCATCTTCACTGTCTAGTCCTAGTTTAAAGTTGGCCTTACAGTTGAGTTAATAGTTCTTGCAAGCAAGCCGGCTCCTACCCTGTTTCAAAGTAAATCAGTCATTCTAAAAAACTCCATTTTTCCACAGAACTGATCCCACAAATCCAATCAGCCATCCTGCTATTCCTTACATATCAACCTAAGCCTAGTATTCAGCCCTAGTGACCTACTTATAATTTCATCCCTACACCGAAGTCTTGGCAGTATCCCTGGCAGAATGAAGTAATTATGGTTCTTTTCTTTGTATGCTTTGTACTTAAGAATAAGCTCCTCTGACCTCCCCTTCCTTACAGCATTAACCTCTATGTGTCCTAAAGACTGCATAATTGCTAACACTCTTTACTATATCACTTGCTCTGTCAGTTATATCCTTCACCCTTGCTCCTGGATAGCATAATCTAATTACTTTCTCTGTATTTACCCTACAGACTATTCAATCCACATGCCATACTAAAGAAGTTGTTATAACAATAACTTATGTTTTTTATTCCTATCCCTATCTGTCCCATTTGTTATCCATCGCTCCTCAAGTACATCACCTGCACAAATTAAAGGCTATTAATTAATAGAACCAGCTCATTATAATTAAAACCACTACTATTAGCTCTATTAGTACTGTTTTAACTTTCTGAAAGTCATTGTTAGCCACTGTGTCCTTTACATACCCTACCCTATTTAGAACAGCCTCCAATTTCAGCCTCCAAACTTTACATACAAATTGTACAACTTCACTACTAGCTTCCTTAAATGCACATATAAGCCCCAAATTCCCAAATAAAACCCTTTCTTCTACCTAACAAACTGTGAGCACTTAACTCTTAACCAATGTAGCTTGGGAATAAATAAATAACATACAAGAAGCCCAATGACAACACTGTTAAGCTTAATGCAATTTTACCACTATCTTATCTTCTCACTAAAGTATCAAGTAGATAGTAAATCAAACTGTCTTTGAGCATATTTTCAGTATTTATATTTTCCACAAGTTTATAAAAAATTTATAGAAAGGCTGACTGCAGTAAATTACTATAGACTCTTGTATATTTTATTTTTCTTTAAGCCCTTTTTTTTCCTAATTACTATTTGATCAGGTTATGTAATGTATCCTCTACCTGCAGTTATGTTTATGCAGAAAAGTATTTATTTCACCATTACTCTAGTTACTGTCTAGTCTAATGACTCTCCTACAGCATACATTGTACATGTATGCTGATATATTAGAAGCAAGTTTCAGTTTTAATAATGATTGATCAACCAAACTCTTGAGTTGCTCAGGATTTTATTTTTTGTGTATTTGTATTGTACGAAGTTGAGAATTATGAATAATAACTTATGTTTTTGTTTTTGGCATTAATGTTTATGTTTGATGTAAAACATGCTCATAAAAATGTGAAAACAATTTGTAATGAAATATATATATACTAGTGTATTTTTTCTTACCAAAAAAACCACTTTTATTTACCTAGGGCAACAGATTGGAAGTTGGATGCTCCAGACTTTACTGGAAGGCTTCGTGTTGTAGTAAAAGGATCAGAATGTATCATAAAGATTGAAGACAAAAACTCTGGTTTGTACATTTCTAACATTTTTTTTAATATTGAAATACAGTGCTCAACTTATGAGACCTAACAAAGAGAATAAATGTACATCAGGATATTACTTTATTTCAAATTTAAGGAAATACATTATTATATGCCTTCATATGGCCAGTAACTATATTTTAGTTTTTATGGATTGAGAAGCTTGGAAGTTAGTTGCGGATTAAGCAAAATTATTTAGATTTTCTGATAATCTTATTAATTACACTTCAAAATAAAGTGCCTATGCTCTAACAGCTTTGGTATAAAAGAAATGTATCATTTCAATTTTATTTGTATGTATGTCACTTTTATGTAATCTATAAAAATATGCCTTTTGGCATTTAAAATAAAATACTAAAGTATGGCAGGAAGCTAGTTTGGGCCTCAAATTCATTAGTAATAAGTGGCATTCACAAAAATCTGAGTCATAGTATATTTAGATCACCAGAAGTGCATCAGTAAAATATAAGCACAAGTATAGCTCATGTAATGGCATAACTTTCATGTAATAAAAAAAACACACACCTCTTTATTACCATAGTTTGCAAACTGTTCATGAATCTCACATTACATATACATTTAATTCTGAAATCATAGTTTATTCAGTGCATCACAATATAAATATCTTACAATTTATAGACGTGTATATCTGTTGTTTTAGCAATTCTTACTTAACACATACTGTTACATGTGTTAAAAACTTTTGATCAAATATAAACTAACTATACAGCTCAAAATTAAAGAAATTTAATGATAACATTTATTGATAAAACTCCTGGTACCAGCTTTCTATACTGTTAATTTAATATGGTAGCCTGTGCTTTAAATAATTAAATAATTCTAAAATTCATAAGCCGTATTATCTACATTTCTGAATTTCTGAATAAATAAGTAGCTCTGATACTATTGTCAATAGGGAATTAAATCAGCACTATAAAACAATAATGAACTTAATGTGAAACAAACATTACATGAGAACTAAAATTAATTAAAACCATTACTTTCCATTATCAGTCCTAGTTATCAACATTAAGTTATAATGGATAATGTCCATGGTCACACCCAAAGGCACCAGGGATATTCCATCTATCAGACAAAATGCAGATGCTGATGTCAAACTATCCAGTAGCTATTGAAAATCAGTTAATGGTTAGAAGTTGAATGCTTACATCCACAAGGTTTCAACTCCCACTGCCTTTCACTATCTGCAGCCAGTTGTGGAAAGAGTTACCCTTAATACTCAGATTCCACCTTAAAGTGGAAATAATACCACCCTAAAAATTCTGCAAGGTAAAACTCCCAACCTCCACCCTTCTATTCACAAAATGATATTAAACAGAGCTACGTATAATAGAATTGTTCAATTTTCTGGTGTCTTGATGTCACAAACTGTTGTAAGATACCTGCTTTACTAATTTCAACGAAACTTAAGAGCAGAACTCGGTTGGACCCCAAAGGTTGAATTGCAGATTTATATCTAAAATGCAAAAGATTTCCTTGTTGAGTTACTTTCATGCTGTTAAGAAACATATGACTAAAAGTCGTGGCTCTTGTGGTTTTTTTTTTCATTCCGAGAAGCTGGATTTTCTTCCTAGGAGGCTTGATTGTTAGTCTATTCTAGCTGGCAGTCTATCCTGGCTATCTATCAATATTGTTGGGCTACTTTCTAAGTTGGTTCATTAAAGAATATACCTTGTTTGTCTCCATATCCTCAACAGATTGCTTCTTTCCTTATATATTTGTTTTATGATTGTGGTTTATCAACTTCTTCCATAGATGGTTATAGAGCTGCCTTATCTGCTACCTTCCAGTGTTATGTAAACCACCAATCTCTTTTATCTCGATTGTTCAATCACTTTTTCAAGTCTTTCACCTTAATGACCCGAAGTTCCTGCACATAATTCAAAATGGGTTTTGTGTTTCTTGGCTCTTCCCACTTTTGAAACCATAGAGACTTGTTTTCTCTATCATCTTTCCCATAAATCATATTTTATTTTATTGCTTGAATCAAGCAGAAGTCATTCTGATATTTATGCCCTTGATGTTTCGTGTATTTGATTTTCCTGGAAGATCTTGTACTTAACCAGATCAGTCTTTTTTACTTGCAGGTTGAACTGTCAGAGAAGGTAACCTCTGTTTGTCACTTGTTGTGCTACCTGCTCTGATTGGTATTGATTCTCATTCAGAGGAACATTTCTATATCATTTTATGGCTATTTATTCTTATCTCGCATTTACTGAATTTTTCAAGAATTCTAGTAAAAGGTTGTTTATTTATACTTTATGATGAAACATGCTCCTTTCATCTGGCTCATGCTGTATTAACAAACTGCCTTATGCAGTTGATGCATTTTGTTTACTGTAATGTTTTAAAACACCTTAAAATTAAACTATGGGTTGCATCTCTTCAAATTCACCATTTAGCAATGTCATTAACATCCTGATTGTAACATCTTTTAGAGGATATTCTATAGACCAGCATGTGGATGAAGTTGAATACATTCTTAAAAATTTGATTTACATCATATTACATCTGGTTGTGATATTTCAAGTGAGGTGGAATCTCTAGCAGGTGAGTTATTCTGTGTTCCTTGCATTGTTAACACTTGAGTCCACATTAACTGTGTGTGGGAACCCAAGTATCACCATGCACTCGTGTTTAAATGGATTTGTCAAGTTTGGAATCTTGCATGTTACATATACCTCTGTGAATGCAACTAGGAAGTCTGAATTCTGGTGGGAAAGCAAAGCTTATGTATGTTCTCCTGATGCAAGTGCAATAAGTCCCATGGACAGTGGGAGAGTGGAGAGCTATAGGTAAGTCAACACATTGTGTCAAGAACATACCGAACTTTAGTCATGTTTGTTGATTGCATGAAAGTAACTCAACAAGGAAAGGCTTTTTGTAATTTTGAGGTAAGTACTTGTTTGTATTTTTTTTTACTTCTAAAAATGTAAAAAAAAAATTGAAATGTGGATTATATAAATAAATAAAGTGACACTTGGTTTAAGCTTATTTTACATGTATGTGTCTAAATCAGTTAACTGTGAACAAGAAGACTGGAACTATAAAATTAAAAAGATGATACAATTAAAACTGAGAAGTATTTTAATCTTCATACAATTTAAATGGCCATTTCATGTATTTTATTATTTTTTTTGATATACTTATCTGTTTATTCTGATTAATGTTTGTCATTCTGAAAGTAATTTCCTATAGATAAAGTTATACATAATTTTAAAAACTTTGTTTTGAAAAACATTTAAATAACATGGCCATTTAATACAGTATTTTTATCAATAATCTAAACTTTCATATTTCTTTAATTTTAAGTGGATTATTAGATGTCTAAAACCAAACTATCAAACTTTCATATTGTTTGTGGAGAATACTCAGGTAACAGTTTCCTTTTAGGAGAACTATTTGCCAAATGTCCAGTTGACAAGTACCCAGGCATTGCAGTAGAAACTGTGCTGGATTCCAGTCGTTACTTTGTGCTACGGATTCAGGATGATGCTGGTATGTGTTTGAAGATAAAAAGAAAAGTTTTTCAACCACTCACTGTAAACTTAGATAGAGCTTAATTTTCTCATGTTCATGATTGTAATACTGTAACCGAACAATAGACCACTGATTTATGCATACAAAATTCACTAAATTTTCTAGTTCTTTTAAGCTAAGTTCACATTAATATTAATTTTTACTGTCTTATGTCTGTCTGCAAAACTCTTCCCACAGTTTAAGTCCAGCTTGGATGAAACTTCGCACAATTTTTTCAACATCGTATAGAGGAAGTTCCAAACAAAGTTTCATTACAGTTGGGTCTCTTTTTTTAAACCAGAATGAGGCTTTCAAACATGGTATGATATATGTGGCATTATAAGAACTGGATCACCTGACAAACATGTTCATACTCACAAAAAAGGAAGATAAGAAAACTTGCAAAGCTGCATATCTAAAAGTTCTTTAGTCAGTAATAAGATGTTCAAAATGTTTACTTATATTCTACTGATTGAGATTGTCATACTACAGTAATTGGGCCAAATGCCCAACAATGCCTTAAATAGGAACTAGAACAAACAGCTGCCCATAGGGTGCCATTTCTGCTAGTATACACACACACACACACACACACACTTTTTTCCTTCCAAAACTTAAGTTCTATTGAGAGTCGGCAATAACAGACGTCTAAATAAAGATATTAAGTTTACTGATTCTGTTGTATTATGTGGCATTTTATAATTAATTTTATGTAATACTTGCATTTACAGTGGTGGTGGACACTGAGCATATGTACTGTTAAATTTATTGGATGAACACACACACACGTACATATATATATATATATATATATATATATATAAATACTTAATGTATTAAAAATGCACAAAGACAAGACACACCAAAAATATATGGCTAAAACCTGTTTGGTTATGAGCAGTGCTTAACTGCATACTAACATTAAAATAGTGTTGAAGTTAGTCTATCTTTTCAGTTATACACCAACATGGGTAAGTGTCTGCTGTGGAATAACAGATGAACACATCTGAAATACTCAGAGGGCCCAGTTCAGGTGCTTGAACCCGACATGTCATGTATCAAACTACACATTCACTGTCTGCAGCCAATTATGGGAAGGCAGTTGTGTGGTAATAATATCAAATAAAGAATAAAAAACCCAACCATAGGTGTATACCTAAATAATTCAGAATACCAATAACAGAGAAGTACTGTATAAGATAGGAAAGGTAAAATAAATGGAAGATAAAAAATAAATAAAAAGGATTAACTAAACGAAGAGGATTATGTTCTCCAACCATACATAATCAAAAGAAGTTTATCCTCCTCCCTTGAATGTGAAATGAAAAGAAGGTAGCAAAGGAGGGGAACCATGTCAGTTGTCATAGGAAGAAAGTTAATTAAAACACTAAATTTTAGAAACATTTAATAAGTATAAGCAGACTGGAATAACCTTCAGTCATTTAGTAGTTGGTCTTTCCTGTCCCATATTACTTGCATTAGAAAGTAAAATAAGTAAGTTAATTAATTTAAAACAAAGATAAGCAGGGAATAAGATCACACCTGTTCTTAAGGCTACAGCCTAACTGAAAGAATAAAAGGAAACAGAAATGCTAGACTAGGAAATATAGTCATGTGATAACATGTCCAAACTGTCCTTGAATGTGACCAATGCCCATAAGGGTAACAGAAGATCAGTAAGTTGAAGAGCTGGAATAACTCCCTTTACAGGTGAAAATCATAATTTTATAATGGAATTCGAACTATATTTATTTAGTGTAATGTTATTTTTATTGAAAAATAATCTGTATCTTTTAATTATAGTGGGAAAGCCATAACCATCAAAAGTCAGTTTTTCAGCTCATAGTTTAACATGGGATAAAAATTATTCAGATTTATTACAAACAAGCATTAACTTTGCAGTTGTAAAATAATTACATCTTTGATTAAGGTACTAGGGATTATACTTTTAACAAAAGGAAAACCATATACATGAAAGTTGAAGACATTAATTTTAGCATAAACATTTGAGCTCAAATTGTCATTAGTAAATCAGATATCTTGCTCAAGAAAATGACAAGAAATTGTCATTTCATTAGTCATTTCAAGTTCTATTTCCACAGGATAAATGGTAGAGATAATTAGCTCAAAGCCTGGATTGTTCAAAGAAATTAGATTGTCTACGTATTGAAAAGTAAAGTGATTCTGATCCACATTTGGTGATTGTGAGATGAATAAATGCTCATAATAATGAAAAAAAGATGCATATTAGCTATGTTTGATGAGTAGTTAGAGGCCATCAGAATTCATATTTATTGTTTATAAATATTATGGTTAAATTCAATGCAATTATTAAACGTACAGTAACTGAAGAAATTCTTGTAACTTCCCTAGTTAAAAGTCAGTGGGAAATTTTACAGGTATTATCAAGACAAAGATCAAAAAGAAAGTTAAAGACTTTTGTAAGATCAATTATGGGTCTTTTATTAAAGTGAGCAGTAAAATCAAAATAAATAAGCAAAAAGTTGTTAATAATATGGAAATTATTAAGGCAGTATAGTATCTTTTTATTATTATTAATGATCCAATAACCTTTATTAGAAGAATTATCTATACTGATTTCAATAGTATTAGCTAAGACAATTAAGATTTGATTAAGTTGCAGACCAAGTTGTTTGATAACTGTTTTTAATGAGCTGATAATAAGTCTGAATTTAGTAAGAGTTTTATGCAGTTTCTGGATAGCATAAAGAAAAGGAATGTCTCGACAGTTATGATAAAATAGAACTTTCCTTTTTTTAGTATTTTTACATAAATTGTTTGAAATAGAATTATTATTGATTTTGCTTATAGCAAAATTGGTGTTAGTGTTGATTTATTTTAAGATAGAAAGAACACAACATTTTACAGATAAATGCAAAATTGCATCTAGTTTTATTTACAAGGGTTATTACACATTTTTCTTGAGCTTTTGAAATTTTTTGCTTGGAAAAGTGACATGAAGGGTCAGGTTTGTAGACAAAAATGTTTAAGGCATTGATTTTATTTTTAAAAAACATAAGAAGTAAATGCTTTTCTTCATAGAAGTATCTTGGTGGGTGAAAAGTTTTTTATACTGATTTTCAGAATATATTCATATATACTTCTTTTTAGTGATTTGAGAATAGTAAATTTGTTTATATTCCTAGGAAATCTGAACTTAGAGCCTTTTTCCAAAATTTTAAGGTAATCTATTATGACTTTTTGTTGAAAAACATCAGACCCATTGTTATTAAAACAATAACATGGCAAAGCATTAATGTCAGTAGGATTTAAAGTATTGACAAAAGTCTTATAATTGTCAATTGAAGTACCAATTAGTGTATTATACTTTTAACTCAGACTTGGGTAAAGGTGTTTTATTGAAAAAAAAAATTAGTAATACTTTCATGAACTTGTTGACCTTCTTATTCAATGACGAGGAACCCACTTTGAGACTAATAATGGTTGGAGACAGCTTGAATAGGTAATGAATGTACCTGATGATGACGAAACGTTGTACATTTGCTGTTATGATAAACTTATATTAAAGTTTTTCTTCATTACCCATTCAAGCTGACTCCAATCATTATTGTTGACCTTCTGTCACCTTAACTGTTATTGGTCACATTCAAGGGTGATTTGGAAATGTTATCACATACTTTATCTCCCAATCTAGCATTCCTTTTTTCACTTAATTCTTTTAGTTCTATTGCCTTAAAAACAGATATGATATTATTTTCTGTTTAGCTTTATTTTCTGTCTGAAACAAGTAAAATGGAACAGAAAAGACCAACAACAACTAGGTGACTTAAGGTTACTTTTGTCTGTTCATACTTAAGAAATTTTTCATAAATGTATAGTGTTTTAATTAATTTTTTTATATGATAGCTTACATGGTGGCTTTCCTTTTGCACCTTTCTTTACCTTTTATATTCTCGGGAAGAGAATTGGTTGCTTTTGATTTCATGTGTTTAGGAAACATAATCATTTTTATTTTTTATTATATGTTATTGTTTTTATTTATTTTGTATCTTATACTTTATTTCTCTGCTGTTACCATCCTTAATTAGTTAAGTTTACATGGTTGGGTTCTTTATTCTTTGTTTTTATTACTGGACAATAACCTTTCAATTATTTTGTCTCTCCTTCCCATCTCCTAATATTTAAATCTCTGCTGATCGATTTTTAGCCCAATTACATTTAGTTGCCAGCATGCCTCATCTTCCACGTTTATCTGACTCCTGTTCTTTGGCTTATTACAGGTTGGATTTTCCATATATTTGGACTCTCAGACCTTGGAGTCTGATTCATGTGTGGGGGTCTGATTCACAGACTATATTGAGATTTCCCCAGCCTAATTTTCACATCCTCAGTATACCCATACCATAATCCTGATATCTTTTCTCCATTCACTTCCTTTCCGAGACTATCCACCATTCCCCTGATAGGTTTTCGTTGGATACATGTACCCTTCTCTGCTTATCTTCCTCGGCCTATGCTCTTCATACATGGCTTTTTTGTTGTTGGAATCCATCCTTTCCTCTTAGGTTACTCATCTTTCCCAACCCTTTCATGCTTCAATTCCTATGTTTCACCCCCCCTGGCTTTCTCCCCTCTTCCAGCAACTTTTTTCTGGGTTTCAGTGGTGAGCTGCCAAATTGCTTGTAACCATGTTTTCCAATGCCAGTTGCATCGGTAACTATCACGTAAATTCTGGAACTATCAGGGCATGGTTGACCAGGTTTGTGCATCAGTGGCATTCATTCACCACAGATTCCTGGGTTCTTTAAGTTCTATCAGAAGGACCCTCCCTTCATTTTTCTACCCTCCTCTCATTTCATACCATCTCTTGGAAGCAGTTCAAGATATTTTATGCTATTAAACAAGTACATCATCTTTTTCCAGGGTTCTGCTCCTAGTTGTTTGTGGTTCCCAAAAAAGACTGGGGATTGGCAACCTGTCATAAATCTATCCAACCT